CCGGCCCCGGGGCCGCTCGGGGAGCGGGCCGGGGCCTGGCCCGGGCGGAGAGGGCGAGGGCGCCGGGATGAGGCGCTGGGACGGGGCGGGATGAGCTGCGATGGGGTTTGGGGGCTGGACACCGCGGCGGGATGGGACACGGGAATGGGACACGGGGATGGGACACGGGGACTGAGATGGGGCACTGGGAACTGCAGTTGGAACAGGGTGCAGGCCCTGGGAGCCAGCTCTGGATACCGGGATGCGGTGCTGGCGGCTGGACATTGGGATGAGGGTGGGATATTGAGCCCGGCACTGGGGTGGGAGGGGGTGGAAGGCTGGGACAGGGGTGGGATAGTGGGGCTGATCCCTGGGGCAGGATGCGGCTGGCATCCCGAGACGGGACCTGGGCACTCGGGCTGTTCCGGCACCACAGGGGAGCGGTGGGACAGGCAGCATCCCCACGGGGGGGACGGGGGCTCCCACGGGCGGGACGGGGTTGCTCCCACAGGAGGGGGCTCCGCGGAACCCCAAGAGGCCCCATGGAAAACAGGGAGAGCGTGGGATGGGGGTGTGGGCAGGAGCAGGGGATGCCCAGCCTCGTCTTTCTGTTAGAGGAATCCCCCTCCTTGGGCCACGGGAGACGAGGAAACGGCAGGCAGATAACGAAGACGCTGATTTATTTGCAAGGAAAGGCAGCCATGGAGCAGCCCCCGCATCCCTTGCTACTGGGCTAAATGTGCAAGGCTGCAGATTTACATACAAGATTAAGGCACATTAATATCTGAAAGGGAGATTTTTGGGAAAAGAGATCTAAGTAGATATTACCGTCAGGAGCCAGCAGATTGTGGCCAAGATAGAGCGCTGTATTTTGCTGATTCCTCCATCGATTATTAACATCAAATATTTTATCTGGATCCCTGCATCTGTTAAGCTTGTTTTTCTTCTTATCTGCTAGTGTTACTTTCATTTGTATTTGAATCTTGAAACAATAAAAGAAGCATTGTTTTTTTTTTTAATGACACTTATTTTTTTCTTTGGCAAGGCAGGGGGAAAAAAATAAAAGCCTGAGCAGGTCTCAAGCTGTGACAACTGAAACGGAATGAGATTTCAAAAAAAAAAAAAAAAGTAATAAATGAGATTTGAAATGGCTCATTTGAAATACACATTGCAATATTCTTCACCCCTAGAATGGGACACATTATAAAAACAAAATGTCTTTAAAATTAGTCAGAAAACAAATACGTTTCCTACCTCATCAGCATCGGGCATCTAAACCTCAGTTCTGCCAGTGCTCCTGGACAGCACTTAGGCGCTGCAGGATTTATAGCACGTAGGCACGGCAGGATTTATAGAGAAATTTGGGATCTCTGTAGTGCCGTTAATGCTCCCCAGGCTAAGGATCCTGCCGGAAAGGGGAGGCGGACACTGAAATACCTGTGGGAACATGGGCTGCTTTGGAGAGTGGGTGACGCCACTCGTCCCGCGGGCTCGGGCAGCTGCAATCCCGGCTACTGCTCCCGGAGTCAGCGCCTCTATGCATTAAATTACCTTAAAGAGAAAGACATTGAGCTTGAAATTATTCTCATAAGGTCTTCAAATGAGTTAATTGATTTGCACTTATCATCAGTCAGGAGCAGTTAGTTAAAGCACGTGTTCTTGGAGACTGGGAACTCGTTAGGCCCTTTATAATCATTTTATTCAGCATTGAGCACAACCCGTGGCTGAAGGCAGATGTTACTGCAACACTGATATGCCAGTGTATCCACAGACCCTCAATCTTAGTATTATTGGAACAAAATAAAAGTAATAATAAGATTTTGAACATAACACAGCTTTTGGCCAAGATGAGCTAACCGCAGAGCGCATATATATATTTATTTATAGATATGTATATGACTGGGATTCAAGTTTAGTCTGCGCAGTTCCAAGAAGACCACTTTTGGTTGAGAGGCCAGTGCATCCGCATAGACCCCTCCGTGCTGAGGCTGCTCTGCTTGTAAGAACGGGCTGCTTCTCGATTCCTCATGCAGACAGGATGTCCGGGGAGCGGCGGCCGCAGCGACACCACCTCTCTAGCCGGCCCTGCCCTCGCGCTGCCCGGGCGGCCGCGCTCCTCAGGCCCTGCCTCAGGAGAAGCTGCAGGCCGGGAAGGCCGAGAGCGCTTGCTCAGAGGCACGGATGGAAAATATGGGTTTTGCTTTGTTTTCCTCCCCAGCCTGGTCCCACACGGGGCTCTGCTCGCAGCAGCGGCCAGCGCAAAGGCTTCGCTTGCACCGCCCCGGGGCGACGCCAGGCGCTGCCCGGCCTCCCTCCTTGCCTGCCCCGGCTCTCTTACCACAGTCCAAGTTCTCCACGGACCTCCAGCTGCAGGGCTGTGCCTTGAGGCGGTGGAGACGGAGCGTCCACCCCGCACCGCAGGGCCAGGCAGCTCCGCGAAACACGCGCCCTTCCTCGGGAGCCAGCCGGCAGCGAGGCCGCCAGGGCCGCGGGCGCCTCGCACAGCCTTGCCCTAGACTCTGTCATGTGTGATTTTCTTAAAGATATTTCTAAGCTAATTATCTCCCATTAGCAAACATCTTCCGGAGCCTGGCTGGTTTCTATCCAGAGATGAAGCAGCAGAAGGGATTAGTGATCTTACGATAGCCTGAGCTGTTAAAGCGCAAAGTTTATAGCCCAAAAAAATCATTTTCCTTACTTCTAAAGAAATGGAATATCGCTTCCCCAGAGCTTTCTCATGCTGCTGTAGCAACGTAGTATTTGATAAAGTCTGAAAAACTCTACAAACCCTGATCCCACTTAAACTCTATGGAAATCGTTTGTGTTGAAAAATATCCTTATCATTTAACACCCTTTCATCTTTTTAATAGGGTGATACAAGTTTCAAACGACCAAATTATACAAAATTACTTACCGCTATGAAGTTAGCATCTAACTGTAAAAAAAACCCACCATTCTAAGTGCTGACGGCAATTGGAAAATAGCAACAGGAAATATTTGATAACGCAAGAGCCAACCTTTCCTTTGGACCAAAGGAAGGACTAAAAAGCAAGGCATAGATTTCTATCTTGCCAAAGTGGACTGCATTTGAATATCATGATCACATTTAAGATCAAGCCATTTTCAAAATGAAGAACTTTTTCTTTAGGACTAGTTGTGCTTTGCATTAAGGTTTACTGCAGTAAGTATAAAATAGTGACAACACAACTTCATGTAACCACTACCAAAATGTCATCAAGCAAAAATAGTCTTTATTCAAATTTCATGGAAACAGGTTATCACTGTACTTTTGCAAGACGGGGAAAAATAAAAAAATATAAACCAAGGATATTGTCACAATACCAGAATACGGAACTCTACTACTATTCCCTTACAGATTACTTCAAGTATCAATTTCCTTTTTCTCTCCTTTTTGGCAGTGCTATTCACAACTCCCTAAGTCCAAAAATATGAAACAAAAGTAGTAAGAAACTTAAGACTTTGCACTTCCACTAAATGACATACACCGAAGGGCATCAATTCAAGGGTGATGATGGCTGAAGCCATCACACCCACGTATCAGTCATCATTCCAATTTCGTAACCCCGAAGCGCAGTGCTCACTCTCTGTAAGGCTGGGCTTAGAAAAGCAGGGCAATTTCAGTGCTGTAGGAAGAATTAAAGAAAATCTTCCTACAAGACAGCAAGTGAGCCTTGCACTTGTGAGCATTACAGGGAGCAAGCACTGCAGTTAACAGGGGACAGACACACCACCACGGTTGTTAAAAATATACAGCTTTGACGTGTTCTACTTCAATCACTTGTGCTACAACTACCAAACACGTACAAGACTTGTCCAATAGTTCCACGTGTGGTTGCAGCAAGGTTAGGATTTGGAGCGAGACCTTGACTGTGATCGGGAGTGTGATCTAGAGGCAGACCTGGACCTAGACTTGGACCGGGACTTGGGTTTTGAAATTGATTTTGACCTGGAACGAGAATCTGATTTGACATTTGGCTTTGACTTGGAATTGGATCTAGATCTGGAGTGAGACACCTGCTGCACACCTGTATCCTCACCCTCTCCCTTGGCTTCCTTCTTGTCAGACTTTGGTTTCAGATACTCCTTTTCTTTGGAGACTGACCTGGACTGCTCACGACTGCCCTTCCTTTTCTTCTTGCCACTCGCCTTGCTGTCCCGCTTGTTGCGCCTCTTGCTTTTCTCACTCTTGCTTCGGCTCCTGCTTCTACTTTTGCTGCCATCCCTGCTTCTCTTCCTACTTCTCCTTTTGTCTTTACTATGGCTCCTGCTCCTATCCCTGCTCTTGCTCCGGCTTCTAGCCTTGCTAATGCTTTTCTCCCCGTCTTTGCTCCTACTCCTCATGCTCTCCCTCTCCTCTCCCCTTTCTCTACTCCCACTTCTGCTCCTGCTCTTACTCTTTCCCTTGCTGCGGCTCCTGCTCTTTGCTTTCTCATCACTGTTATGGAGAACACCCTCAGATTGGTCTTTACTTTTGGCTCGTGATTTTTCTGCACTCCTGCTGCGGCTCCTACTTTTATCCTCTTTACTTGGAGTCCTGCTTTTCTCTTTTTGGCCTCTGCTACGGCTCTTGCTTCGACTACGGCTCTTGCTTCTGGAACGGGACACAGACCTGAAAGCGCAAAAACAAAAAGCGATTCCTCTTCAGCACAGCTTAGCTTTGAGCAGCACGGAAACGTTGTACATGTGGTCTTCCTGCTGCAACTCTGGGATGATCCCTCTCATTTCACCGGCGCTGCTTCCCCCACAGGGACGTACCTGGATCTTGATCTGCTCTTGGAGCGACTGCTGCTGGCACTGCGGCTCCTGCTCTTGCGCGAATGTCTGCTTCGGGAGCGAGACCTGAAACGAAAGCCCCACGTTAGGACGGGCCTCTGCGCAGCCCGGGATCTGCTGCTCCCACAGGGATCAAGGCTTCTGCCAAAGTACGTCTCGTACAGAACTGCAGAGCACTTCACACAACAGTTACACGTTTAGAGCACCCTTCTCCCCAGGGCTCAATCCCTGCTACGTCTGGAAGCAAGCAGGGCTGCCGATCCGAAATAAGGCACAGCTTTATTATTTAAGATAAGGGAGTGAGAATCACTTTCCAAGGAAAGGCAGCTTTGAATATAGTGAACTGTGCAGACAAAGCACTTGGAACATGGTTCTTTTTGCTGTTCACCCATGGAAAGCCGTTGGCTGGTGCCCAAAGACACCGGGTCTAATGGAGCTTCCCCTTTCAGGTCCCCAGAATGGCAACCTGTCTGTCTATGACCTTCCGAGAAACTTCAGGGATTACTCTATGTTCAGGGATACTATTTTCTTACCTGGCTCTATAACTGGGAGATGCAATTAGGCTGTCAGTCCTGTAACACCTTTCCACTCCGTTAACTTTTGGGCACATGGGCCACTTTCAATGCTACTTCACAAAGGTCTTAAATGCACAAAAGTCCCCAGAATTGTGGGGAATATCCTGCAGTTCCCGGGAAGGAGGGACAAGGCAGAGGTACCTGCTTGGGGCAGGGAGGAGGAGTCTTTCTCGAGACAAAACGAGTACTATGCAAGAGTAGATGGGAGAAAATACTTGTGTGTTATTGTGTGCCAAAGCATTTTTCTTTCCCTTACCAAGGATGCTGCAGATTTCTAAGAAACAGGGAACAGGTGGGATCTCCAAGCTGAGAAATAACTATTACAGCAAAACACAATGTTCAGCATCCGTGCTACGAGTACCTTCTGGCTCCTTCTTGGTGCACAGCTCCACCTACCATGCCGTGTTCTGCTGCAAAACAGCAGGGACCAGGCACTCGCTGGCAAGAGCAGCGGCAGACAGCGACGTTCAGCCAGCAGATGCACACGTTCACTAAGGACAACACCGAGAGGCTTTGCTTTCCTCAGTTACTTGCAGGTAACTAATGAATTCCCAAAAGTTAATTTGTTGGAGAACTTGGAACACTTCCAGAGCATTCGAGAATCTGCTATATATTCACGTTACTGCAGTTGGACTTCAGCTGCATGTGAAGAGACATACCTTGAATGGCTTCGGGAATAAGAGCGGCGCCGTCTCGATCCAGGTCTGTCTTCCACTAATCTAATCTTTCTGCCATTTACTTCTGTCCCGTCCAGCTTTTCAAGGGCTCTTTTCATGTCAGAATAGGATTTGAACTCAATCACACCTTCATTTTTCCTTCCTTTGTGTGCATCTGCATATGTCACTTCCCCTGCCTGACGCATATAATCCTAGAGGAAGAGGACAGAATAACCATGGCCTCGAATCCAGGCTGGGGCTTTCGAGCCGCTCCTGCTCATTTCTGCACCGACCCTCACTTCGCCTTTTCCACGTACACCCACGCCAGCAAGGGTTTTCACCACACAGCACTGCAGAGCTAAAGCTGAGGTTTCCGAGCAAGCCAAATAACGCTCTAGAGCTTCACAGCGATGCTGGGCTGCTAGTTTTGAGCTAAACTGTAACTTAAAGCCTTACACTGGCATTCTAGCATGAAATATGCTCTGGATGGTAATGAGTTTCAACTGACGGAAGCGATTAAGGAAAAAGTTGCTTGATCTATAAATCACATGTTCAAAGGTAACTTAGAAAAGGTGAAAACCAGAAAGATCTAATAGGAAAGAAAAGCAAACTGATCAAATAAGCAAGAGGAGCACACGCTTCCCTTTGTCCCACGCTAGGTTACACCTCGGGTTCTGCTGGAAGAAGTCCCACAGCAAGAGAACCTACGTCCAGCTTCCCACTTCCCACTACTGGCTGCTCCCTTTCCTTTACCAAACCCATGTTTCAAGGGGAACCACCATCCTTCCGCTCCAAGCAAGCTGCGGGACAGGGCCATCTCCCAGCTGCCGTGCACTTGGGCTGCACCGAGTTCTGGTTCAGTGTTTTTGACCCACCTCCTCCCCCGTGATACACACTGCAAGGAAAGCTGTTCAAAGAGAAGCAATGCACCCACCAGAGGATTAATCATGCCATGCTCTACTTACAAGTTTTAATACCAGAAGCAAGGACAAGCTACTCAGGGTGTGAAGCATTAACAACAAAAGATATTTGAAGGATCTCAGTACATACCTGAACTAGAGTTACATATTCAATTACAGACCAGTTTCTAATACGTCAAAGTTTGTTTAGAACAAATTTTACCCATCCTTAAGAGAGAGAGAGAGCCATAAAAGAAAGCGGTCCTGTAAGAACAAGTGTTTTTAACCATTTCTGCTATTTTTCATTAGGAAACACTCCTTTTACAACTACTACTTGAATGTGCTCCCTGCCCTGCCCCTTCCAGCCCCTGATGGAGACGAATATGAACCTACCCCTGCACGTGTATTCCTGTGTACTATGGTCTAGATAGGGCATTTCCACTGCGGAGAATCACTTTCCATTCCCTTCACATTCCAACAAAGTTGTAGCTTTTAACAGAGATTTTGCACCACTGCTCATAGGTGGGAAGCACTTTTTTTTTTTTTTTCCCTGAAACTTAATCTTTAAGGCAGTTTCTCAGTGTGGAAATTCTTAACAGAGATGGTGCAAGAACGATGCTATCTTTCCAAACAGCACCTCAGAGGCTGACGAGTAAAATCCAAAGTGACAAGGACAAACTCCCGTGACTCTAGAGAGCCCTATTGCTCCCCCTGATTAAACTCTGCCTTGACAGGACTCAAGGGTAACGCTGAAAACATCCGTCCATGCTGTTGGTTTACGTGGAGCAAAAGAAGCATCCTCCTCCTGCTGCCCAACACCATACAAACCTGCATGGAAGCAATTCCCAATGCAGGACACACATTAACAACTGCATGTATTCAGGCATACATCAACACTGACTTAATGTATTGTTTCAGAAGAGGTATACACATGAGCACGTAGACTCATTTTAACAAATCTGAGTGAGGAATACAGATCCATTACGAGTTTTGCTTGATGCAACTAAAGCTAACTTGTTTACCCTTTGTGCTCTTTAATAGAGAGGGTAAAGAAAGGGGCCCCCGTACCTTAAGATCTTGCCAACTGCAGCGGCTTGACAAATTTTCCACAATCAATCTGTATTCTGTACGGGTCGGAGGACCGTACTTATCTCTTCCGCTTCTTCTATAACCATATCCACCTTTAGGAGGTGACAAGCAGACAGCAGTACTTCAAGCAGGGAAACGGAGAGCTGCTCCACCCGCCGGCCAAACACACCCCTGTTCTGCCCCGCACGTTTGCAAATGCATCAAAACGTCACCCGCCCTCTCGTCCCCAGGAGGTCCCCACTGCATAAAGGTTAAAGAGATGCAAAGCATTTTAAAGTTATTACTGCAAATAGCGGCACATAATGAAAGCAGTGCATACTATAATTACCGTTGAAATTAACATGCAGTTAAGTTTGTTTAGAAAATAAAATAGAAAGAAGAAACCAAATCAATTAAGCCACTTTGCCAGTGCTACTTACATTGCTTACAGGTTTTCTGAATATCTGATATGAATAAAGATTTTCAGGCACCTATTTCAGATTAATCTCATCTGTCTCTGCCCCTTGGGATCCTCACCACCCAGGTCTAATAGGAAAAGGTTGCGGTCGTCACCTGGCTTCCTTTTTGGGTCAGCCAAGGCCAAAAAGGTCAAAGCCACTCATGGAAGGGGAACCCAAGGTCAGCAAATGGCACAGGCAGCCAGCTTAGCCTCAAAGGACTCAATTAAAACACTGAGGTCTTTGTTAAGTCTATGTTAAACAATCACATTACAACAAAACCATTAAAAGAGTTAAATAAAGTGATAATAAAAAATGGTACAAGAAACGGTTTATTAATTTATCAATTTAAATAGTTTAATACAAGAAACAATAAATATTCAGCATGACAATTACATTTACAGTTACAGAACACTATTCACAACTTCGTATCATTTCCTTTAGAAGTTATTAGAAAAGGAGGAAGTGTTTTACTCCAAGCAGGGCAGGGTTCAAAGGCGCGCTGGTGCTTACTGCGTGCGGAGCCGTAGGCGCTGTCCCGCCGCGGGCCCCGGGCGTGCTCCACGATCACCCTCTCCCCGCACAGGTCCTTGCCGTTCAGCTCGTAGACGGCGTCGTCGGCGTCTCGCAGGTCGTCGAACTCCACGAAGCCGTACCTGGGGACGGGGAGAGGAGCGGCGCTGAGCGGAGCCCGCCTGCGGCCCAAGCAGCACCGTTCCCGCAGCGCTCCAGGCGGGAATCTCGGTGCTGCCTTTCGGCCGGAGGAGCCGGTGGCACCACGAGCCCCACAAGCTCCATGCCCTGCCCGCCGGCCTGCTCCGAACGGCGCCTTGCTGCTCTCCTCGCTAAGCGTGCTCGCTGCTGCCGGCAGCGTTCAGCAGCTCACACGCTCGCTGGGTTAGGCTTCATCCCGAGCTTTGCAGAGCCCTGCTTCCCACTCCTGGCTGCATTAGGCTGCTCACGTCAGGAAGCCACCTGAGGTCCTACTCTTTCAAAGGAATAAGCACGTGCGAGGGAGCTGCATGCCCTGCTTGGAAGGTCCACCAAAGAAAATATGCAGGTCAGAAAAAGAGCTTTTGTCTTCATCAGAGAGTCTTTATTCCTGAGCTTAGACAGCACTGAGGATTTGGCTAAGCAGCCCCATCCAACAGAGCGGATTCCTGCTGAGGGATCTGCACCTTCCCACTTGCTGCCGGGAGCACCTCATGCCCGCGAGCCTCCTCCAACCTCTGCGCTTTGAACATGGCAAGTCCAGCTTCCACTGGACATCCAGCAGCCCAAGCCAGGAACCAGCCCCAGGGGAACAAACAGCCCTCCCAACGCGAGGCTCTAGAGAACCCCACACAAAGCTTTAGCCTGCACTGTAAATCCAAGTTGCACTAACCTTGCTTTGAGATTCTGGAAATATAAGCAGACAGAGCAAGATGAAGGACACAAAATTTAAAAAGCTTATTTGTTTCATTTAAATGATGTTCTTCATTCATCAAAGGAAAGTAACTGACATAGACAAACTTGCAGACCAGCACGTGCCTCAAAAGCTCCCATGGACATTTCTCACCTCCTCCTCTGCGGTGCCACAGGCATCGCTGGGGCTCTGATGCTCCTGGTCCCTGCTCACTGCAGAGCTCAAAGGAGTTTTTTAAACCAGCTTTTACAGCTGGTGCTCAGGGACAAACTGGTGCTTTCCCTGCGGCTGCCGAGCAAACTGAACCAACACTGAAGGCTGCCAGATCCCGAACTACCACAGTGAAAACGCACGTTTTAAAAATAACACAAACGCCCATTACCCAAATGGGCCAGTGAAAAGGGGGACAGGGTGGAAAAAAAGGCGCTGTTAGTCTGAGCTCAGACTGAGCTCACCTGCGGCTGACATCCCTTTGTCCTTCTCTTACCTGCCAAGATCCAAACGCAGGTTTCGGGCTCCCATGCAGTCACTGACGGCATCGCAGCCTGTACAGAACCGGGAGCCTTTTTCCCGGCTGGCTGCAACGTGTCTGGTGGCGCAGAGCCAACGCCATCCGAACGGGAGGCTCCGCACGCGAGCGGAGGAAGATCAAGGCTGCGTCGCGGCGTTCGGAGTGGCCCGAGAGCAAACTCACCCTACCGGGACACTCGCCTCTGCTCTCACGTCACGCTACCTTTAAGCGTTTCCGCTTTTGCTATCTGATTTATTAGCCAAGAATGTCGTCAACTGCTACAAATAAGGTAAGTATGGTAAGAGTTTAGGTGAGAAAAGGGAGCACTGCAGCAGCATGTCAGTGATGGAGCAGTAGGTTAGGTACAACTTAGGCTGTCTCAAAGCTAAACACCTACAAATCCATGCACTTGGCCTCTGATAGTTTTCCATGAAACTCTCCCAAGTGGATCGAGACAGACTGGATTAATCCGCCTAAACCTTGATGGATGGTGCCAGCTTAGCTGCCTTCTCTCCACTTGCTCCCGAAGGGAATACTTAACATTTATCCGACACCGTTAATCCCTTCCATTTGGGAATATACTGGACACAAATAGTCCTAGAATAAGATATTACTCTAATAGAAAAGGGAAAAGCTGTAACAGGAAACTGCAGGTGTTTGTTAAAACCAATGCCTCTAACAAGCTTATTCTACTTTCAAGGTTTTGTATATGTGATTTTACAGGAAAAAACATGCATCCCAGCCAGCACACTAATGAAAGCAATAGTAAGCCACCTCTGTTATGCTAAATACATACAATATTGCACCATACGATCGAGGAACAGGGATCAGGATGGTTTAAAACAGTTTGATACCACAGAAGGCGACAGTCACTGACGTGGCCTTAACTATAGCGCCTGAACCTCCTGTGCTGACAGCAGTGCAAGTTAATCTTCTTCTAAATGACTCCTACTAGCACTTCCTATGTGGCATAAAACTACTTACTGAAAACGCCACTGCATTTACTTGAGGTAATGTGAAGCTACACCATTTTCTGCTTCTGTACCAAAAAAAAAAAGTTTAAAAAGTATATGCTCTTATTCTAAGCAATTCTAGTAGGCTGAACCTCTCAAGGTGTTTTTCTTTTAAATTAGGAAAGAAGGGAAGAAATGTAGTTTTCTAGAATAGCATGATGGCCCAGATTAAAACAAAAAATATTTTCCCCCTCCTTTAAGCTGTTCCCCTGTGCACACAGGTTTCCAGGGCGGCAGGGCTCTCCATGCTCCTCCCCACGCCGGTGTGTGGCACAAAGCCCTTTCCTATGGCACCCATAGGGTGCCAGCTTCTTTTCAGCACCTGTGGGCTGCTTCCCTGTCTCCATTCTCTTTCCGGCTTCCTAAGGTGGGAGGCCACACAGATGAGCTGGGCTCTTTGCACCTCCGCCGTCCCCGGGAGTGGCGGGGCCGGGCGGCAGCACCCGCCAACACGGGTGGCCACCCAAGGGTGACACCGGGCGGCCGCTTGCTGCCCTGGGCCTCGTGGGGCAAAGCGAGCGTGTAAAGTGCTTGGAAACCACCCGTGACGGTGCGAGGAGAGCGGCCCTGCAAGCGGCGCCTCCCACGCCGCGATGGGACCCACGGGACCCGGCCCTGGGCGAGGGGGAGCAGCCTGCGCCACGCGAGCCCTGCGCTCATCTGAATGCCCTGCCACAGGTACCCCTCCAGCGTGCGTTAGGAGCCAGCTGCGATTTGGAGGGAGCAATATTTAAGCTTCCTGAGCAACAGCAAAGCAAAAACGGATGAAAATTTCATCTTGCTCACAGGAACATCAGTAAAGCAGGAAAGTCCACTGGAATGACAAAAATCATTGGAAAGTTACCTTGCTATCATGCAGGTATGCCGGATATCTAGTTATACATCACTATATTATAATTCCAACCTGATTTTCAAAGGTGCTTGATATCAACAGCTCTCAGTGAAGTTAACAGGCAGAGTTAAAAATCAAACCATCTCCCCTTAAGCCACAAGCAGAAATTTTGAAACGAAACAGAGAAGTGAAGCTGGAAGCTTTTAGTTTTGTGCCTTACTCCCCAGGATGATGGAGAAGGTGCATCCCCCGCCCTTGCAATGGGTTTATGAGGACTAACCTGACAACTCTTGAAAAACAGTTAGTGAGGGACAGCAATTAAAAAACACATTGTAACCCGTGCACTTAGGCTGCTGAGACTGCAAATTGGTTTCACCATAAAAGAAAGTTTCCAGCCCTTCAAACTATTTCCCTCAACATTTAGGATGTTTTTCCAGAGATAAAAAGAGATAGGGTGAAATGTCCAATCCTCTGGTCACCCAACACCTATTACTGCCCCGCAGAGCTCCAGCTGCCAATCCAGTTTGAGCAGGAAGGAGCAAAGATTGCAAACTGGGAACAGGCAGCTAGAAGTTGTGATCGAAATGAAGATACCGATGAAAATGCAATTTTTATTTTCCCATTCTTTTCTCAGGCAGGCAATACTCTTAAGACATAGGACAGCAAGCTGCAGTTACAATCACCAGCAAGGGAGAGCCTTGCCAGGCTTTCAGGACCCTGACCTATCACATTCCACTTTCATTCTCCTGCTCCAGCTTTGCAGCTTAACTTCAGCTGCTAAAATCCCGCATGGTAATCGCCTCCAGGCTGAGCATTCAAGACAGCCCTCACTTTGCACAGGAAACTGAAAGAAGCTCTCAAGTCCCACACTGCGCAGTAATTTTCCTCATTTGCTAAGCACTGCTAAAAATAAACTGGGGAGAAAGGATCAGAGACCAACAAAGCAAACTGTAAAACACCCTGACAAAAGCACAGCATAAGGATTATCGCAAGCAGAGACATAAAATCTGATAGTTTAAGTAGATTTTTGTCAAACAGGAACTTTAAATACAAACCAACAATAGCTCGTTGAAAGCATTTCTGAATATACACCTCAAAGCACACACATTTTTGAGTTAATCCAAAGAATATACGTTAAGCTCCATCTAACCCACTGCTGAGACAATTCACCATAAATCAGCAGACCACAGGGCGGATGACAACTCAATCCCGTAACTCTCGAGTTTCCTGTGGTTATCTGCAACTTCTGAACACTGTCTTACCAAATGAGGCTTCACTTTGTTTCACAGCTGAGGCAGCTTCCATTTCTCCTTCAGAGCCCCAGGGTTTTAGGCACAAGAAGGCTGCATCCTCCTTCTCCGCTCCAATATGTCCCAGGTATGATTCATATTTAAGATCCTAGAAGTCTGATAAAGTTTGTTTTTTCAACAACTGTCTCTGAAGTACTTCTCTCTCAATTGGCATTTTTATAACACAAATATAAAAGAAAATCTAACTGCTCAGAACCCCGTCATGGGTTCAGACCAAACCCCATAAAAAAACCCATCCTTAAGACTTTGCTTACAGGCAACCTACCTGAAGCTCTGTTGATGCAAACACTGACACGTGCACAACTGTTTAAGAACAGTTTTTATTCACGTTATAAACCTTACATACATCCAACCTTCCTGTAAAAAGTGTTGAAACGAAATGAGCATTGTCTACACTGAAGGACTAACTCTTCCAAGAGATTCTTCTCTACTTCTAAAGCAAAAACAGCAATGGGGTGTTCCAGCCAGTAATAAAATCCGCACTCCACCCAGTCTCCCTAAAGCAAGACTTCGAGCTGGGTTTGCTTGTAAAGTAAAAAACACCAACACTTGTTAGTCTGGGGTTTAAAGTGTTGGGAAAAAAAAAAAAAATAAATCACTTTTTTTTTTTCCTGGAAAATCCATACTCGAATGCCTTGGGCAAGCGCTGGCGGGGCAGATCCGCGCCAGGGGGTCCCTGCCAGGGGGTCCCTGGGGCGCAGGGAAGGGCCCTGCCCGGGAGCGGGGCCGGGCTGCAGGGCACCCCCGCGGGAGGCAGCACCGCCCGCGGCGAGGCCGGGCCCGGGCTCCCTGCTCATGGCAGCCTGCCACCCGTGTCCCCAAGGGCGCCCATGCCCGCAACGACGGGGCTCAAGCCCCGCGCTCCCAGGGGGCCCAGGCATCCTGACCCCTCCATCCCGCTCCAAGGAGTCCTGAGCCCTCCCCTCCCCCCATCACGGGAGACCCAGGCCCCCGCGCGCGCCCCTCCCCAGAGGCGCCCAGGCGCCGTGCTGCCGCGGCTCACCCGTTCTTGAGGTCCACCTCGAGGATCCTGCCGTAGCCCTTGAAGAACCGCTCCACGTCGCGCTCGCGCGCCTGGTAGCTCAGGCGCCCGATGTAGACGCGCGGCATGGCGCCCGGGCGGGGCGCGTGACGTCACGCGCCGCGTCACGGCGCCGCCGCGGGGCGGGTACCTCACGGCGAAGCCCCGCCCACCGCACCTTTCCTCCCCCACCCCTCCCGCCGCTCTTAAAGGGGCCGCGCCGCGGGGGGACCCGCCTGCAGCGCCCCCTGCCTTCCCCATGCGTCTGCAGTTGTCCCTATGGAATCGTTATGGCGGGAAAACGCCCTCCAGATGGTCAGACCTTCCCGATGGTCGAGGCCAGCCATAAAAGGCGGCTCACATGTGCAGGGGAGCTGGGGGGGTGTGTGGGGCTTGTGGGGCATGATAAAGTATTAATGGGGTCCCCTATATATATAGGATATTAACGGACATCCTCCCTGTCCTTCCCCGTATCAGGATGTGAATAAGGCTCCCTGTTTCCCATAGGGAGGGCTCTTGTGGGGCTCCCCTTCCCCTATGGGCAGCCTTACCGGGCCTCCCTTTCCATAGGTAGCACTGTGGAGTCCCTAAGGTGCTTATGAGGCCCCAGTACAGCGGAGGACTTATGGGGTCCCCCTTTCCCCTATGCAGGGTATTCATGGGGTCCCCTCATCCCTGTTGGGGGGAGTTATGGGCCCCCTTCCCCCAAATGGAGGGGGCTGATGGGGGTCCCACATGTGCCAGGGATCCAAGTAGCAAGGAGCTTGTAGGAGCCCCCTACACCATACATCAAAAAAAAAAAAAAAATTACTATCTTTAAAGAATTAAAATAATACACAATAAACTGTGCACATTCAGCCTGCCCCAGCACGGCAGCGAGTGTTCTGGAAGGTTCTGTGATGGTGGCGGCCTCCCCGGCCCTCCACATGCATCCTGTCCGGGTAAAATAAAGTAGGGGCATAAACCCCAAACATTAATTTGTTTTTTTTTTCCAGTTTAGGTCAAGCTGAGCACTACTCCTAAGGTTTCCGATAGGTTTTCTCCTCAGGTTTTCCCGCTGTGAGCGTGGCGGGCTGGGGCTCCCCTCATGACACGTCGCCCCGCGTCACCTCGTGGCCACCATCGCCCGTAGCAAAGTTTGGGGTGAATTAATGAATTAATTTGAAAGCAAATCAGCTCTCCTGCCTTCCCAACTTTTCATCATTTTCTTTGTTTCGGAGGAATTTAGGGTGTGAAGCTCATCAGCTAATCCAAGAGAAAAAAATTCAGCATCCTCTTAGCCTAAATCTATAGGTGAATCTGCACAATCCCTGTCAGCCTGAGGCTGGTTGAGCGGAATGAGACAGCACTGGACCTGCCCCTGTAGCCCTAAGGATGTTTTTTAACTTGGGTAATGATTTTTTCCTTAGGAAGAGGGGCTGAAGAGTATGGGAGATGCAGTGATAACTGAAGAGATGTCTTGGGGGGAAACCTTGGTTTAAAAGTCCATAAACATCTCAGCCCACCGTAAAAGAAGTGATATTTGGTTTTAAGGGAGGTATCTGGAGCTTGTGCTTGCGCAGAGATATTGGATGGATTGGGTTGTTCTACCTTGCCCAGCCTGGTTGGGTGACACAGATGTGGTGTCATTCACACCTGGTCTGGTGGAGAGACATAGTCATGGGAACATCTGGCTGTCCCATAACTGCCTGGCCCATGGGATCATCCTCGGCCGCTTCCCCACAAATGCTCTTTTCCCTCCCCACAGGCCCAGCACTTTTGATGGCCTCATCTCTGTGTTCAGGACCAAACCATCCCTTTCCAACCCCATGTATCTGGGTGGGCACATGCAAAACAAAGCTGTGGGCCAGCAGCAAGCTCTGCGCTTGGCTCTAGTAGGGAACGCAGGGCATAGGAGCCGAATGCACATCCACAGCATCCCGCCTGGGAAGACCAGCCTCGGGGGGCTCCTCGCCTCCCCAGGCTGCTGAAATGCTGGGTGTGGGACTACGCTGTGATCTCCGTGCTCCTCCTCGTGCTGCTGACGACCTGCATTGGCGAGCACATGGCGAGGGTGAAGCCACACACAGCAGTATCTCATACTTTAATCACAGAAAAATTTATTAGCAACATCTTTAAAAAAAAACACCATTGATTTTATAGATTTCTCTGCAAGTCTCACAATCAGTGCCAGTGGTTTAGTAACAGCAGCAAAAATTAATTCAAGTCAAAGTACTGCAAAAAGCCACCCCCTTCCCACACACGCATGAGACCCCAAGCAAGGACAACACGGGGAGCTGGTCTCCCACCGAGGCCTCGGACCCAACACCCAGGGCTGAGGCAGCAGCAAAATTCAGGAGGCGAGTCCTGTCTCTGGCTCAAACGTGGGGCCACCGGGGAGCTCCCTGAGACATCTGTCCTGTCTTGCTGTGGTGGGACAGTCTAGCCAGTCCAGCCTGGTGTGGCAGTGGTGGCTTGTGCCTGATAAATCTTCATTTCTGCCTGTTTTTCTGCTGTTTTCCAGGAATCTCTGAGCAAAGGCCTCCTGATCTGAGCCTGCCCTGAGCAGTATGACCTGGCTCATTATACCCCAGTAATGCCATCAGGGTCACAGATGTCGAGTGCTTGCTGGCCTTAGACATCTTCTCTTCCAGGAAGCAGACTCGTCCACATGGTTTGTGCCAGACACCTCCTGACCTGCTCTATCTGTCCCTGCTCTGTCCTGTCCATCGCAGAGACCGACAGCACCCAGACAGGGGTCAGTGGCCAGGAAGGGTCTCATGAAGGGTCTCTCATTGCCCAAGGAACTGCTGCCTCCCTGGAGCAAGCACTAAGCTCTGGCTGGGGCTGCGGAACAGCAGAGCAGCATTCAGCGGGAAGCCAAGATCAGAGCAGGGATGGGAGGCTCCGAGCCCACTCTGCTGGACACTCCGGTGTCTGTGGGCTGGGGGTGGCCAAGAGCAAGAGCACCTTGAGCAGCAGATTTGGCTGTGCCAGTGCCGGCCTGGAGGCAGCGAGCAGCCATGCGCTGCCCTGCAGCGTGACCTGAGAACAGCACAACAAGCACAACAAAGCTCTGAGCTCCTAAATGAGGCAGGAGGTGGTGACCGGCTGCGGCAGGCAGAAGCCCAGTGCCCTCCCTGCCTTGCTGAATGGCAGCTTCTGCTGCTCAGATTTTGGCTGCCCCATCCCCTGCCATCACCCCCTCGGCAATTCCTGCAGCAGCTGCCTCAACCCTAAGCCTTCCAGTGCAGAGGAACTAATCAAAGCTAAAGCAAGGTTGGAATCTCTCTCCAAAAGCGGGAGCGTCACAGGATGAGTATCTGCTTGGATGACGTGAACGGCTTCATGGAGGCCTCCAGGGCGGCCCTGTAGTCCTCGAGCGGGACCTCCGTGCACGCCGGCGTGCCGAGCTGCCCCTTCCGAACGAGCTCGCACAGGCTCTGCATCATGCTCTGCAGGGCGTCCTTGTCTGCAAAGAAAGGGACCGCTCTGCTCCTGCCCTGCCCCACGCTTGCAATAAGCCACAGCCACCAAGCAACCCCGGGGTGAAATATTTGCCAGGACCCAAATGAGTCCTGGTGGCAGCAGCTCTACAGCTAGCACAGCCCTCCCAGCATCGGAAGGACAGGTCAGCCACAAGGATGTCCACCCAGCACTTCAGGGACATCCAGGCCTGCCATGACCACCGCCAACTTACTGTGCATTTGGTCTTTCTTCCACTGGGTCATCCAGAACCCACGGAGCTTCACATCCTTGAAGATGAACGCACTCTGCAGAGACAGCGAGACGCTCGGCACGGTGCAGTCCTGTTGCACGCGTGCCAGAAGGCCACATACCCCCCAGGATATTGCTAAGCTCTTGCAGTTTGACAGCAGTTGAAAGGCGGCAATGAGGATCTTCGGCTCTTCTGTTAGAGCTTTAATTTGTGCCAAATTCACTTTAGCAAGTTCACGTTAATGAAACACCTCATGTTAGCCCAGGGTCTCCATGGCGCTGCAGCTCGGAGCTGCTGCAGGCCCACGGCTGGAGGGTTTCACCTTGCCAGAATGAAACTCAACTGCAGCCTCAGGACTCAGAGGGCTTCCTGACGGGCAAGCAGCAGCTATGGAGGCGCAGCCACCTTGGGGCGGCCCAGTACTCACCACAGGCACCGTCACCGGCTGCTTCGCCATTCCCCCGTACGTGACCATCGTCCCTCTGGGCCTGGAAGGGCAATCGGGTACTCGGGTACCTGCAGTCTCCAGCGTGGATTCCGACGTCGCTTACATCTCCTTCTGTTCTACCCACTCCCGTGCTGTGCGGACAGGGCTCTGCCCTCACCAAGGCTCCTCCAAACAGCCACTGAACCCCCCTTTCTGGGGCTCCCCTCTTCCCCCCACGCAGCAGTCCCTGAATTTGCTTTTTGGCCCACGAGCCAAACTTACTGCAAGTGCCGCAGCATCTCGGTGGCGCTTTTTCCTCCGACACAGTTGAGGGCGAGCCGGGGCTTCGGGATGCTCTGCAAGAGCCAAGGTTGCAGCAGCAGCAGTCAGAAAGCAACGTTTATTAAGAAGATCCCCCCATTTTGGGGTTCCCTTCTCTCGAGCACGACACCACAGCTCCCGGGGAAGCAACTGCCTTAATGCTAGGCTTTCCTTGGGGACAGGTAGGAATCACAAGCAGGGCCCTCCAAACCTGCAGGCTGAGCCTCACGACAGCAGCAGAAGTCCCCAACCCCGCAGAACTAAATCCCAATCCAGAGGAAGCTCAAGGGAAGCCATTCCAAGGGCAGCAGGAAAACTCACACTCAGGAGGATACTCCCCATCGGAGACATTTACTGCAGCTCTGTCAGCACAGGACGTTGCCTGCAGTACAGCAAGGTGCAGCACTTCATTGCAGTCTGCTCCCCAAAAAGGACTTTTTTTCCCCCAGTTTAGCTGGGAAAGCTCTTCCTGGCAGCCAGCTAGATGGACGCCCTGCTCAGCTTGGAGAGCGGGTGACAGGTAACAAGGTGACTGGAGCAGTAGAGACCAAGGTGTCCCAGCAAGGTGGCACTTTGCAAAAGGCACTTTGAAGCCCCGAGTTTGCCACATTCATTGCATGTTTCTATTAGCAGATGGGCACGTTCAGTTACACGAGAGGATAATACACCCAGTACCTAGCGACTTGGAAAAAAATAAGTGCAGGAACACTTTTTGTTATGTTTATATCCTTCCATAATGATTTACTGCCTGAACATGATGGTTGCCTGCCTACAGATTTGGAAGAGCCTATTTCATATTTGTCCTTCCCATGATCCTTACATGTTTGCTCAGAGCACAAGCTACAGGGACAGCCTTGGACTTTCTCTCTGGAGGGATCAACAGCAAGTACCTTAAAAATGTCTTTCATGTCTGGCTTCCTCAGCATCTCTTCTGTGATGACGTGGTCTGCACCAAGGGACACGAGTCTCTCCACCAGCTTTGGGAGATCGGGTCTGGAGGGGAAACAAAAAAAGACAGAGATCTGAGGAGCCACAAAGGGCAGAGAGCAGCACCTTCATCCTCCTCTTGCCCAGCTCTTCTCATGCACGGCCTCGCCTGGTGGTCCCAGGTCACCCCGATGTCCCCATGGGGCTGAGGTGTTGGGACACAGGGCGGCTCCATGGCCACGTTTCAGCCTCCTCTGCTCCCCTCGGGAACCTCCCCCACTTCCCAGCGGGGTCTCCAGCACCCGCGCCAGCCTCACCGGTCTCGGACCACGTTGATGGTCCTGATGCCGGCGGCTCTGGCGATCTGGATGACGGCCTGGCCCACGCCGCTGTTGGCAGCGTTCTGGATGACGGAGTCGCCTGCCAACGGCAGAGAGCAGCTCAGCTCGGCCTCCGGGCGCTCCCACCGGAGCGGCCTCCTGCCCGCCAGCCCCACGCGCCTCCGCCCTCGCGCGGGTGCCGCCTCTGCCGCTGGGCTGGGCAGGTTTCGGTGCAGAACTGGCTGCAAGAGCCACCACGACTCCCTTCCTCCCCGTTACCACACGCAGGGACGCCGCAACCACGAGGCCGAGCAGCTCTCGGCAAGGGAAGTGTGAGCGGGCGTCCCTTCCTCTCAGGGCACTCCTCGCTGTCACGCTGGGTAGCCGCCGAGACGGCAAGCGCCCCACGTGCACCCCCATGTTCACGGGGCACCCCGGAGCGACCGCACGTACCCGGCCGCAGGCTCTCGAAGTCGGCCAGCATCCTGTAGGCCGTGCAGGGGTTGACGCCCAGCGTGGCGGCGCAGAGCACGGGCACGTCGCGGGGCACTCGCAGCAGGGTCTCCTCGGGGAACACGGCCTCCGTGCGCCACGTCCCTGCAGGGGCGGCAGCATTCCCACATGGAGAACACAGGAATCCCCCCGAGGGCCCAACGCGATTCCCAGAGGGAAGGCTTCCTCGCAACCTCCTGTGTTTCTCCGGCACTTGTCAGGAAAGGGGCGAAAGCCCCTCAGGAGCTCGGGCGCCCCGGGGGCTGCCCGGGCACCTTTGGGAAGGCTGGAGCACACGGGGCCCGCGCGCCGTGCCCGGGATGCCGGGGTCCGTGCGAGCACCGAGCCGCTCGGTGCTGCTTCTGGGCAGCGCGCTGCGCACAGCCCGCGGCACTCGCGGCCTCCGCCTCGCCCGCACGCGCGAGATGCGGCCCCGGCTGCCCAGCGCCAGCATTTAACATCTGGAAACTCCAATCATCCCCTAGACGCACAGCAGGAGCGGGGCTCCTTGAGTGCAGCGAGTGGGCAGAGCTCATGGAAACACTCCACATCCTACAGATGAACCCATAGATTCAAAGCCAATTTTCTTAGCTTTAGTGACTCTTCATTCATATCCAATTTAACCCCCTATCATCCATTTTTATGTTTAAAAATATCCCATTTGGAGCTTAACTAGATGGCTTTCCTCCTCCCATTAAGGGAAAAAGCCTTTTGAAAGGAAATAGGCAAGGAACAAGCTCTTATGCTAAGGCAGAACTGGCAATTTTTCCTGCCCATTGGCATTTTGGAGCAGCACAAGAGACATTTGTTTAAAAATAAATTCCCGTGCTTTGCCATCAAAGTGCTATTACGGAGGGCACAATAATGAGATATAACCACGACCTTGCGCAGGTTAAACGCTCCATCCTGCGAAGAAGCCGTAAGCAGATGTGACAAAACACAGTTGCTCCCAGATACCAGCAGGTTGCTGTAACGTTCGCTAAGGGCTCAGAAGGCCCATTATAGAAAACACTGTAGAAAACCAAATTATTTGTTTGAATTAAACTCCAGCGCAGGCATCGGCGCCGCTCCTCTCGGGCGAGCGATGCCCGCGAGCGAGTGAGTCCCGTGCCGGCTCCCGAGCTTGCCTGGAAAAAACGTATTTGGAAACAAGCGGCAGGAAGAGTAATCCCAGAATGGGTGCAGCTTAATGCTTAAAACTGCACATAAAAGAGGTGAGGAACTCAGAGGCCTGTGAGCAGCTCCCCAGCTAGGCCGATGCCTCTCGCCTGAGACGAGACGAGCCCTTGTATTTAGGATTAGGCTAATGGGGCACTAAGGGGACTACAACTGCTGTTTTCCTTGTCTGCAAAAGTCTCTAACGGAGGTTGGTTTTTCTTTCTTTCTCATTTCTCATCACATCTGCTCCGTGCAGTTGCCATAACTGGGAGGAGCGTGTGCTTGGTGCAAATACCGCACTTGGGAGAGGGCTGATTTCTGCTCCAGGACAGCGCTGGGCCTCAGAACCTCCTAAATCTCTTGGGACAAGCCGGGGAAAGCGGCGGTTCGAAGGGAGGGAAGGGCGCGCGGGGAGCCGGGCGCTGCGCGGGGGCAGCGCAGGGCGCCCCAGCAGCGCGGGCGGTTGCTCACCGAGTCCGGCGTCCGCGGGGAGCACCCAGTCGCCGGGCGTCACGGACGTCACGCGCCTCCCGACGCCCAGCACTCGCCCAACGCCCTCGTTGCCTCCGACGGCCGGCAGCTCCGGCAGGAGCGCGTAGGTCCCTGCGAGGAAGCCGCGCTGGGCCGGGCTCCATGGGCACGTCCGGGCTGCCAGCACCGCGGGCAGCAAACCGGTGCGGAACTGGTGCAGAACAGCCGAGCGGAACCGGGCTCCGCGACAGCCGGGAGCTGCGGCGCTCCACTCACCTTGGATCATGTTGATGTCCGCGGGGTTGATGGGGGCCGCCAGCATCTTGACGTGGACATCAGAATCCCCCAGCGGGGCCAGCTCCAGGTCTTCTAGCCTGGACAGGGACACACACCACACACAAGGGCGTTCCCAGGCGCTCACCTGACATCTTTTGCACGGGGAATAAGCTGAAGAAAGGATCTCCTAAGGATCTTAAGCCTAAAACAGCAGGTGTTTGGGGAGTGCTAAGACAACTGCACCCCCCACAGCATCCCTTCCGCTTCCCGGCGCGTCCCCGTCGTTCCTGCTTCCCAGGGAGCTGTGCCAGGGGTTAGGAAGGAACCCAAGACACTTCTTACATGGAAAAGAGCCCTTCCAAGGGGCCCCTCATGGGAAAGAAGAGCCCAGTGCCGAGTTACCCTCTTCCCTATCTCCTGTCCAGGCCAAATCCGTTGTGACTTGCCCATTTGCAGGATAAGGGGCAATTTTAGCGATGTTTGAGCGAGCTATGGGCTCGGCAAAGGAGCTGGCGCAGACCCTGCGTGGCTGCCGCTTTTAACAAGTTATCTGCTGCAGTTACATCCTGCTAAGTACGTGTCACCAGGAAGAGCAGCTTCTTTCCTACGCTGGCAACGCGTTTGCCCCTTGGAGCTGCACGGCTCAGTGTGGGACAAACTTGAGCTGTGAGCTAAATAACACGACGCACTTGTCAGGAGGCTTTTGGCAGGCAGGAATCCCATAATCAGGCTTTAAAACCACCCCAAAGTGTATCGGGAGGCTTATGGGGAGCAGACAAACAGGTCTAGGTCGTGGCATCCTGCTCCAAGGCCGATTCCGAGCAGGAATCTGGGAACCAGCATCTCAGTTCCCAGTGCTGGTATTTTGGCACCAAGAAAGAGTTCCTAGGTTTAGCACCTCTTGAAAAAATTGCTTTGGCAATAGAAACAACAGCCCAATTTTGATCGCAGGGGCTATGACCAAGCTGGGTAAGGCAACGCTTGGTGCCCTCAAGCCAAGAGACGGTCAACAACCTCCCTGGAACTAATAAACTGTGCAGGAAGCTCCTTAATCTGCCCAGGGCTGGTCTCTGCGGCTCCCGACATCCTGTTTTAGCGCTGGGGGGAAGTCGGGTCCCCAACAGCCCTTCCAGAAAGCGCCAGGAGCTGCTGAGAAACAGCGTGAGGAAGAGTCACGGGGCGAGATTTGCCTTGCACAAGACAGCACTTGAGGCCTGGATGCAACCCGAGGGCAGGCTGCACCTCCCCTATTGCCAAAGCGCTACTCGCTACATAAAACCCTCTAAAAACGTAAGTTCCCCTTTGCAAGGCTTATTTTTTTCCCTCTTGCTGTGATTCAAAGAGCCTGTGTGAACAATGAAGAGCACCCGCCAGGATTTCTCCCGGTCGCTTAGGTTCTGGGGATCAATAATGCGCCCCCCAAAACCGGCTCTCTCTGTGCGGGCACTCAGGGTGCTTTCTATGGGTTTCCTGGGGTATTATAGCCACGTTCAACCATAAAGCAATTTTAAGGAGGCAGGTGAGGTCCGGCTCCCTTCTGCACCCCGTGCTGCCCCCAGGCCAGCCCCCCAAAATGCCCCTTCCCCCCCAGAGACCTTGGCAGCCCCCACGTGCCCCAGCCCCCCCTTTTTATGGCCCCCCACTGCAGCCCCCTTGCAATGCGCCCACCCCGCAGCCCCCTTGCAATGCTCCCCTCCCCACAGTGCAGTGCACCCTGCTTTGCCCACCCAAAACCATACCCCCCCCCTTGCAATGCATCTCCTAGCCCTGCACACCCCATTGCAACCCCCCTCCCCATTGCAACGTCCCCCCTCCCCATTGC